CCCCAAAACCCCAAAACCCCAAAACCCCTAGCCAAACTTCTACATTTGAAAAGAAAATGGTCGCTGTATAGATATGGACATTCGGTAAAGTGGGGGGTTCTTATGCATTTGAGAGTGAGTTTGATTTCATTCTAGTCGTTAATTGGTTACACCTTCCAGAATTCAATTTGAAGAATTGATAAGACCTAGAGATCACAAAGTACCATTAATAGATTACAGTTCTCGACTAGTTCATAATGTAATCAACAGGAAAATGAATTGCAAGAGGCTAATTTTTGTAAATATTCTGAAATCTAAAGCATGAGGCTACTTTTTTGTAGTTTTCATTATGAGAAACACTGAAATTGAGGACAGGCAAAGAAAAGTGCCTAACTTGAGTATTAACTTTTAATTATAAGGCTCATCCATATTTTCTGTTCATCTTTAACATATCAATTTTTATTTAGAGAGAACCATTTGAGGGTTTGGAGTTTTGTATAAGAAAATAATAAACCAGATATTTTTAGAACTAAGAAAATTTGAATGTCGTGATAGAACATTGATACTAATTGATGCCGAGAGGTTAAAAAGAAATAAGAATTTTTCTTTCTCAATATGTCGAAAATAGTAAATAAACCTACCCTAAACTATAAAATTTGAACTCTAAAATACTCATTCCCTCATATGATAATCTCCCTCTTCCATAAATTTATGTTATTTGCTTTAAACTACCAAGTTCTTCAATAATCGTTCATTTTTTCTTTCGTTGTTCCCAAACCATAAAAATGATTTGTGCACTTCAAAGTTGTCCCAAAATTTGAAAACTGCAAAAGTATGTTATTGTTAGAAATCGAAGCTATAATTATCGGAATATTTGGAACAGCTAATCATGGTTTCGAAACAAAATTATTCAGATTACATAGCTTGGTCCATTTAACGAATTTTTGAAAATTTCCAAAAGATGCATATTTTGGTAAAAGCACTTGTCTGAGAATTGGAAGAAATAGATAACTCAAAAAAATTGAATAATACCCAATCATACAATAATAATCCACCTAAACTCTAAACTGCCAGTCTTCACAAATCTCAGCCCCTGCCGCTTCTCCTCAGTCTCATTCACCTCTTCTATTCACTTATGTTGCTGCATATATAGCTTTCAGTTTCCATACCTCGTTCTAAACTAGCTTCTTCTCGATTCTAATCAACATCATTTAAAACAAGCTCTATTAACTATTACCAGTCTTGCCCAGAAGCGTAATTCATGAGAGAAGCCAGCTAGGCCAGATTTGTACTAGGATTTTGGAAATTTTAGTAGTGGGGCTGGGAAGGAATTTGGGGTAGAGGGTGGGTGTATAGTGGTAATTTGGGAACGTATTGTGGAAATGAGGTTTTAGGGACTGGTATGGTTTGGGGTAACTGATGTTGGGATTATGATGTTTGGGTGGTGTGGTTGGGGTTTTAGATGTTGGATAAGATATTGAACAAATTTGAGTAGAACCATCCGTTGGAAAACAACTCTATTATGGAAAGTTTGAACAATTTTATAGAAAATGGTTTAGATGCAATATTTTAAGAACAAATATTTAATAAGTTTTAGTTCACTTTCGCAATATCGGGCAACTGTCAAAATGTCTTGTTTACTTTATCTCCATTCATAATTATTGCTCTCTCTAGGCTATATCAAAAGTCAGAATTTTCTAGTTTTGGTTTGAGTATTTTAATGCAAAATTATCTATTCTTAGAAGGAATGCTGAAAACTTTTTAAAAACCACTCCGATGTCTTCATCAAGCTACTACCAGAATGAGCACAAAAGAAGATATTATCTTCATATCTGATTGCTCTATGTGCTCACTTTCGTATTTCGAGCAAACGGTAGAGTTATGCCATATATACTTTTAGGTGAATAAATAAACCAGTTTTGTCCTACCTTCTAAAATTCTGAACCTTCCTGATCAGCTTCTGTGGTGATACGAACCTCCCGTTTACAATTTTGTTGCTCTCTATTTTTGAAATGACTCTTTCAATCATGTAGGAATGTACAAGGTAGCTCTTGTGGTCTTCAGCTGATAAATTGTTTATAGCACTAGTCCTCTTTCTTTCTGATGGTTTTGTCTCGGTCTTAATCTTAACGCCTAGAGTTCTTCTAGGACTAAACACTGAATTTTTCTCCTTTTTGAAAGACAGTGAAAGTCATAGCTTCTTATTTCTACTAAGGTTCCTCTTTGGCTTCCTACAAAATCATTAGCTTCGAAAGAGAATATTTCAGTACCTTGTTTGTGAAGCTTTATTTGCGCTTGCTTTGAACTTGTTATTAAAAATGCCATTTAACCTAAAAATCTTAAATCACAAATTCCAAAAAGAGCAGTCCAAACCTACCTTAGCATCACCTGTCTCTCCCCATGTCTTTTCTTCAATATACCTCTAAGACTACTCAATTCCTTCATATGCTGTTTTACGCTCTTCATATTATTAACTTTCATTATTAAATAAACAGCCAGGGGTTTTGGGGTTTTGGGGTTTTGGGGTTTTGGGG